TCTATCTATCTATCTATCTATCTATCTATCTATCTATCTATCTATCTATCTATCTATCTATCTATCTATCTATCTATCTATCTATCTATCTGTCTATCTGTCTGTCTATCTGTCTGTCTGTCTCCATCCATAACTTCATAATTCATACCCCCTTCACTGTGGCCCTCCCCCCGCGTCTATCTGTCTATCTGTCTGTCTATCTGTCTGTCTGTCTCCATCCATAACTTCATAATTCATACCCCCTTCACTGTGGCCCAGCCCCCCTCCCCCCGCTGCCCGTCCCTCGCCCCGCCCTGGTGGCAGAGCCCCCTCTGACCCTCCCCCCTCTGTGTCCGCTGCCCCCCAGCAGATTGGGGGCATGGTGTGGGACTTCCTGGGAAAGTGAGTGCTCTGTCCTGGCACCACGGCTCGGCTGCATTTATCTGTCTGCAACTGCTGTGTGCTTGATGCCTTGATGCCTCTGTTGCACGGCTGTCTCTCATTCACTGGTTTTTCTTACAAAGGAAAGAATCCTTTTGTTCTTTATAATGTGGTAAATACGTGCCAGATTGCATTGATGTAAAAATCTGTGAATTGAGAAAGCCCAGAAAATAATATTGTGTGTATAATGTGTTTTGTGGTCGTGTATGCTGTTTCTTGCGCATGTGTTGGGCTCTCTTCCAAACCCTAGTGAGCTGCCTCGCAGTCTAATGTCTACATAGGAAACATCCTAACCAAGATGGAGCCTCATAAGTGGCTGATTAAAAATGTTCTTTCTCTAAAAAAATTTTAGCGGGCAGCAGCAATACAGTCACACAAACCGTGCTCAAGAGATCTGAAAGAGAGTCTGATGCTGTTGCTAACTACTCAACAGAAATCTTGACTGAGTGCATTTGTAAAAGTATTTTCTACTGTTTACACTTACAGAACTCCAAAATTTTGAATGGTAATACTGTATATGTAAAGGATACATTTAATGCTACCTTAGATTTTGGCCAAAACTGTATATTTTATATATTGCTGTCTACCTACTTCCTTTTGAGAGTGTGCCTATAGTGCATAAACTATGTTGCCTATAGGTAGGAAGCTCACTAGGCTATGGAACTGAGATAATGTGTACATCAACCAGAGTGCACGTTTTCCTTTTATGATTATATCTGTTCTATAATTTTTTGTGTATTTATTTATTTTTTGTATGATAAAAATAGAACATGAAAATTTAATCTAATGATTCCATAGTTTCAGCACAATTTTCTTTCACATAGTGTCATACATGTGATAAATACACACTTTATGTCATGATTTTGGCATTGCAACATGTTGATGTGAAGTCATTCTCTAAAATTACACCAAAATTAAAGGGATAGTTCACCTAAAAATTTAAATTCTGTCATTAATTACTGTCCCCCATGTCATCAGGCTGATTTTCTTTCTTTCATAAAATAAGAGAGGAGAAATTGTATTAATTGTTCTAATTCTATGAGGTTCACACCACAGCTAAATCAAAAACGACACAGAGGAGCAAATATAGTTGGAATCACTTTCAGAATTATTTTTGTTCAGTTAGTGAATGATAAAAACACTGACATCCAACCAAAATCTATTCTGCTTTAAAGAGCTTGAGCATTTAAATTGGCAGACAACAAAACTGCAGCTTATGTTTATTATAAACAGAACATTATCATCTGTTGGTGTGGACACTAATATCATCATTATTATAGTTTTCATTGGTTTTGGTTGAAACACGTATAATGTTCTGTCAGAAAGTAAATGGGGACAAATGCATTTGAGCCAAAAATGACAAAAAGTCATTAAAATGCAATAGAAGTAGTTCATACTTATTGCTTGTTCATTATATTCCAAGTCTTCTTAAATCTGAAGGATTAGATTATATTTAAGTCATTGTTACTAAAAATCTCATATTGAGTCCTTTGTCTTCTATTGAAGAAAGAAAATCATACGTTTGAAACTACATTTTGGTGAGTAAATGGCAACGTTGTTATTTTCAGGTGAACTATTCTTAATTACACTCAATTATACAGTGGTTTTCACATAGATCTGTCAACTAATGCTATTTTTAGCAATCTTGGTGTATTTTATTCTACCCTGCTTTATGACGTTACACGCTTCTGTGATCTCTGTGCTTGCTGCTTGGGTGTTGCTGGCATACGAGGGCTCTGACAATGAGCGGAGCCCCGTTTCCTGACCTTTGAACACCCATTTCACATGCTGAACCTCTTGACCAGTCATCTTTCTGCTTCCTAACACGATCTCTCCTCCCTTCCCTCTCACTCTTCTGAATGATCCTCTCCATCGCCTCCCACCTCAGCCTGTGAAATTCCCCTCAAATCGGCCATCTCATCGGCCTGCATGACGTTCTGCAGCATTTCAGGCCCTGTTTTGCTCTGTGAATGAGCTGGGTGCTTTAGGTAGGGTTTAGTGTTCCTCAAGTAGGTTTGCACCCTCATGCCTGATCACTCTTACCCTGTTTGCCACCCCGTGCGATCCCTCACTGCGGCTCGGCTGGTTGGGTTGCTGCATGTTGGTTCTCTCACAGGCCCCTGCAGATCTGGACTCAGTGGCGTATCCACTGACGGTGATGATTTGAGATGATAGCATTGTGCATCCTGCCTTGCTGACCTCCTAGTTTCTCACTTGACTCTTTCCAGCTGTTTTCTGCTTCGTTTTGATGAATTCTAAAATTTTATTTCTCCTTTTCTCCTATTTTCTGTGTTGTGGCTTCTCTTCCTTTACGTTCCTGCCCTTCCTGCATCCTTCCTTCCTCCTCTTTCTCCTCCGTCAGTCTTGCTCCTAGGTAAGTTGGTTGTTCCTCAGGTGTTGTTCACCCTCCATTATGAGCAATAACCAAGCGTGTTTTGTTTGTGTGACGTTAGAAAAATAACTGTATTTTTCCTTACATTTGCATCTAGTGTGTTGTTGTCACCGTTATGAGTCATTTTCATGGTGATGTTGTGTTGTTGTTTGCATTTAATAATCACACATACAGCGACCCCAAAATGTATTTGGACACTTAAAACACACTTTAAGAAGTCAGAATGTCATTGCATTATATAATGATATATTTATCTAACTCACTCACTTTGGAGTGGATGCATTGAAATCTCATGCAATTTTTCAAGTATAAATATTTTTAAATCAAGATACATTTACTTGAGAAGCAAAATGACATATAAAGTCATGTTGTCTGAAAAAAAAGAATCAAAATTAAGTGAGTTCATACTTAAGAAAAAAATCTGGCAATGAGGTAAGAAAGCTAAACTTGTTTTCCCTTTGAATTGTTTATTTTTCTTACTCCATTGGCAGATCAAGTATAAACTCACTCAATGTTGACTCTTTTTGCTTTATCAGAAAACAATTCTTAAAGGAATAGTCCACCCAAAAATGTATATTCATAATATTCATTTATATTTATAGTCATAATTTTCTTGCCCAAACCTTACTCCAAACCTGTAAGACTTTCTTTGTTCTGTGGAACATGTAAGAAGATACAAAACAAACAAACAAAAAACTACGGATGTCAATGGGAACCGAATCTGTTTGGCTACTCACATTCTTCAAATTATCTTTATTTGAATTCCAGAGACGAAAGAAATGTATAGACATTTGGAAGGACATAAGGGTGAGCAAATTATATCAGAATTTAGATTTTTGGGTGGACTTGTCCTTTAATATCTTATGTCAGTTGCTTCTTAGGTAAATGTATGTTAATTTAAGAAAGATTTTTGTACTGGACAACGACAAAAAATATACTATAATAATTAATTTTGATCATGTTTGGTTAATTTTGTGATTGATATCAAATTCAGCATTTCAGGTGACACTCTGTATGTGTTCTAAGGCAAACCAAGGATCAAAATAAAAAGGGCCCAGGCATCAAGCTTGGTCCTCAGATGGACAAGAAAGGCCCTGGGAATATCTTGCAAGACCAACGGAAGGATAATCCAATGGACAACCCAAAGGTGTGTTGTTTTTATTTTATGGCTTTAAATTTGGTCTTAAATCAAGAGAAAACAAAAGGGTTTCTCTTTATTTTCTTGCACACGTTTTTCTTTATTTCACAGATGGAGGAGTTATTGAATGTTTTGGAGAAGACGAGGCAGGAGTTGGAAGCCACTAAGCAGCGTCTGTCCTCCACCCAACAGTCTCTGACTGAGAGAGACGGCCATCTGACCAACCTCCGACAGGAGCGCAGAAAACAGCTCGAGGAGATCTTGGAGATGAAGTAAGGGTCCTTACAGTCAGATTCTGTTTCTTCATAAATATTTGATGCCTAGGATGTTTTTAGTTTTGTTGAAAGCTGCTCAGTGTATATCATGCATGCATACAGTATCTCAAACGGTCTGTTCCTCTCAGACAACAGGCTCTGCTCGCTGCTATCAGTGAGAAGGATGCTAACATCGCTTTGCTGGAGCTGTCCTCCTCCAATAAGAAGAAGACACAAGAGGAAGTGTTGGCCCTGAAAAGAGAGAAGGACAGACTAATGCATCAGCTCAAACAACAGGTCGGTCGATTTCTGTACTCAGAAACCCATTTAATTACACTAAGTCAATAGGAGAGCCACTTTTAACGAAAAGTATGAAAAGTTACATCCAGTTATAATGTCTACCTACACTGGAACATCTAAAGTCTGTCTACACTGGACGCGTGACTGTTGCAAATCATCTGAACGTTGTGTTAGTACATCATAAATAGAACGAGGCATCAGTTTAATGACGGGGATCGTGTCGCATCGCAACACTTGCGTCCGAGTGAGTAACACTGAGTAACACTGTCCTAAACCATTAAACCTTAAAGGGGTCATATCATGACGCGATCATTTTCTTTATCTTTGGAGTGTTACAAGCTGTTCATGCATTTATAAGATATGTAAAGTCGCAAAGATTAAAATCTCTCAACCCCAAAGAGTTAAGTCTCGTCTAGCCTTCCTAAAACGCCTCATTCAAACACACCCCCACATATCTACGGCACTGTGTGGGAAGATTTTCATAACACCGACCAAATGTATACGCAAAGAAAGAAGGCTTAACTTTTATTCTCACTGTAGTATTGTTGCCACCACTGCCATGGAAGCTGATATTCCAAATATGGTAAGGGGCATAACATTTCCGTCACATGCTTGAGGTATTCAGCCAATCACAATGCACTCGATAGCTAGCTTTTCAGAACGATGAGCTTTGTAAAAACCGAAGTGTTTCAGAAAGGTGGTGCAGAGAACAGCAACAATAATGTACAGTATGGTATGTGGAAAATAATGTTTTTTGAACCTTAAACTGTGTAAATACATTGCATTACATCAAATACAAAAAATTATGTTATTTTTAGCAACGTCATATGACCCTTTAGAAGGATGGTTTGCATGGTTTGGCGCAGTATTTTTTGTTATTTAAAGAGCACGTTAGTAATATGCACCTATAGGCGGGTCCACAACGCGTGAACACTCTGCTTATTACACACACAGGGACGTGCAGCAGTACACAAACATGCCAAATATGAAAAATTAAAGGATTACAATATAAAAGATTATTATTGTGTAGGCTACATAAATATAAGAATGCCTACGTCATAATTTATAGTCATTGCATGTATCAGAATTAGGCTACCTATTTGCTCGCGCGCAAGCAGCTCTGTTTCCTCTCTGGAGACGCATTCAGTCTTTGCTCTTGCAAATTCCGCCGTGTAAATAGCTAATCCGCCATGGCGCAAGCACAACTGTCTCTTAAAGGGAATGGGAGATGAGACTCTGATTGGTTTATTGCACGTTATACCCAAAACACACCCATTACTCATTAAGAGAATAGGGACAACCCTTTTAAACCATGCGCCGGGCACACCGACCGTTTTTCCCATCATTAAACTAGCGAAAGTGGATTTGGACACACCCTAAGTGCACCTGCGCCTTGCGCTTTAGACCATGTGCTTAGATCGTTAAAATAGGGCCTTCATCTTATTTTATTTTATTTTATTTCTATCCACTTGCACTCCCCCAACAAAATCACCTCAGTCATTCTATAATTAATATTTATTTCCAAACAGAGTTTCTGTCAAAATGTATGTATTTTTATATGCCAATATACATTGCTGAAAAACAAAATAATTTTTTCAATATCATGCAGGACTAATATATACATTAGTATTTTCTAATTTTTCTAATTTTCTAGTTAATCTTTGCTATAATTGATCACTATGCCATTCCTTTTCCAGATGATTGCACAAGTTATCTTACTCTTAAAATAGCCAGAAGCAATGAAATATCCAATATCAGCCAATAAACTGAAAAAAGGCGCTTATATACATTATTGTGCATTCCTATTTTCAGCTTCAGAAGGATGTTCTTCCCAAAATGTGGCCATATCAGCTTACAGCTTTGAGGGAAAGAGTCAAAGAAAGTATTAGAAAATCTCCTGTACTTCTTCTGAGGCATGTAGCCACCTGATACCTTGTAAACTCAGCTTTGTTTTCTGGCAGTTTGTGCTTCATTAACTCCTGGAAATTGAGTAAAAGCAAACTGATTACATTTGTACAAGCCATTTAGAGATGTTTGATGATCTCAAACCCTGTATCAAAAATATGCTGCTTGTGTTTTTAAACTTATTTTTATCCATTTTAGACACAGAGCAGGATGAAACTTATCGCTGACAACTACGAGGATGACCATTACCACCCTCACGCTCCACCTCCCCACATGCAACCTCAACCCCTTCATCCTCAACCCCAGCCCCAGCCGTCATACCCACAGCCCCAACACCCCCACCAGCCTCCTTACCCACACGCGCCCCATCCCCAACACCCACAGCCTCCACCCCACCACCCGCAGCAGCCGCCCCAGCCTCAATACCCCCACCCACAACACCCACAACACCCCCAGCACCCGCAACCGCCCGGCCCACACCAGCACCCACCTAGACCTCAGCCACCCCACCCTCAACACCCTCATCCCGGGGTCCATCCGCAGCAGCACCCCCACGGCCCTCCGCCTCAGCAGGGCCCCCATCATCAGCCCATGCCACACCCGCAGCAGCACCCCCATCACCCCCCGCACCCTGGCCCACAGGGCCCACACCCTCGACACCCTCCACCACACCATCGGGGTCCAGGCCGTGGACCGCCGCATCCCGGACACCGACCCACTCCAGACCAGGTTTGTATGGTATCTTCACTATACTACAAATTTTGTGTCTGCACCTTCTAATTTAATTAATTCATCTAAATTAGTGTATATTAGTTTTTTCTACTTCCTGTTGTTCATTATATGACTGTTTCCTTAACCTTTGCAATATTTCTTATCTAATCTGCATCACATGAAATCCAATACTTGCTTCTTACTAATTTTAGGATGCTGATTCCATAAATAGTGCCTGTTTTGATTTGTAAGTTAAATAATACATTTTCAATACTTATTTTTGTCATTGAAAACTGAAAAAGCAGATACATATATATATAATTAAAATAAAAATTCAAAAGGCAAAATTCAGAAAGCATCAACAAATAATTTTGTGATGGGATTTTGTCTTTTTTAGATTTTTTTCATTTTTAGTAAAATACATTTCATTTTTTTAGTAATTTTAGTAGTTCAGCATGCTGTAAGCATATGTATTTCAGTTAGTTGCCTCTTAAAATTTCTAATTTTCATTTAGTTGTTTCTTTTAAGTTTTTCATCTGTTGTTTACATTTTATTTTATTTTAATTAGTTTTGGTTAAAGACAACAACATTGATTGAAATCAAATCACAATATATGGCTGGTGTTTTCACTGGCGATTGACCTCTGTATAATCTACCTGTCTCTCACTGTAATGTAATCTCTAAATTTTCTAATCTAAACAACCTGCTCTTTCACCTTTAACTCATCGAATTCTCCTCATTTCATGCTGACCTCTGGATATCTGGATATATTTTGGGCCCAAAGGATGATGAAGAAGGAATTTGGGCATAACTATTTCCAAACCAAAGCTATGATGTTGTTTTGTGGGGTGAGATTTTGATGTCTGATGTCAGTTGTCTGGTTTAAAATTAGATTTTGTGAATAAAAGCGGTTTGCCAAACAATTTTTTTGTTATGTTCGCAGGCAATTCAGTCACTAAAGGAGGAGCACAGCCATGCCATACAGATGAAATTCTACATTGTTCACTTGGCCAGTCTTTACCTACAATCAGATTCATTCTTTTGGATGGGGCCCCATTTTTTTCCATGCATTAAGGAAAGAGGCGGAGCATTAGTTTGAGTGGGAGGGCCAAAGCTGGAGATGACCACCTGAGCAGGTAAATACTATCAACAGAAGTACTAACACCTTATTTTTTAATTTACAGTTTTCATATTATACAGTACCATTGTGGTCAATAACATTAATATTAACATTAAGATTAATATGAATTGATATAAATATAATTAATATATTAATATAAAGAAATTAATATTCAGCAAGGGCACATTCTATTGATAGAAAGTGACATTCATTTTTTAAAGAAATTAATACTTTTATTCAAGTGACAGTGAAGACATGTAAAATGTTACAAATGATTTTTATTTTTAAATAAATGCTGTTTTTTAGAACATTCTATTACTTAAAGAATCCTGAAAAAAATGTAGCAATGTTTCAGCAAAAATATCAATCAGCACAACTGTGTTCAACATTGATAATAATAATAAATGTTTCTTGAACGGCAAATCAGCATATTAGAATGATTTCTGGAGAATCATTTGACAATGAAGACTGAAGTAACGATGCTGAAAATTCAGCTTTGCATCACAAAAATAAATTAGTAGTTTTTAAATAAATTCATAGTTTTTAACTTAATAATATTTAGCAATATATATATATATATATATATATATATACAGTATATATAAATATATATATACTGTATATATATAAACCTTTTCCAAGCAAACCTTTTAACAGAAAACTTACAATTAAGGTTATAACTTTTCCCCCATGATGACCCTTACCGCCAAAATAATTAAACAGACAAAATAAAATAAAATACTTTTATTTTAAAATAGACAATTTAAGAATAATTAAAAAAATAGATACATATTAAAAATACAAGATAAACATTACAATATTGTACACATTTACAAATAAACAATATAATTGTAGGAATAATAAAAATAAATAAATACCTAAACAATAATACAATTCAATTCTCTGACATATTCATAGTGGTCTTTACATAAATATAAAACCAAGCAACATGATGATCATGTTTAAACCAGTTTCCACAAATCTCTTTATAATGATCAGTTAAGGGGTCATCTTCATCTTTTCAAAATATGTGATCATAGGTTGCCACATCTGCCACATCAATTTTTGGACAGATCCCTTCATTAAATATGACATTTTCTCTCATTTCAAATATAAAACCAGGTCACACATCCACACTGAAGCTTTAGGTGGGATTGCTGATTTCCACTCGAGTAATATTCTTCTCCTCACTAATAAAGTGGCAAAAGCGATAACATTTTTGTTATCTTTGCTATCAAACACCTTGTTTGTCAATGATACTTTGTGTTATGGTACACCAAAAATAGCAACTTCATCACTGGGATTTATTTCTAAATTAAAGGCATCTTTTAGTGTTTTAAATATTACTGTCCAAAAGTCACTCACCTTTTGACAAGCCCAAAACACAATATTGCGGTTTTTAATGTATCTTTGTGCAGCCTTGTTGAGCATTAGAGACAAAAACATAAGACATGGTGTAATATTAATGCTAAATGACGTATTCTCTTAAGGATAATTATTCCATGTTGTTGTTGTTTTCAGATGATTAAAAAAAAATGGAGAGGAAGTCTTGACTGATCAGAAACACAGTTACTTCCTGGTGCAGTCCTTTTTCTAAAGACATTTGCCTTGAAGACTCTCCATGCTCAGTCAACACTAGATGAGACACTGCAGCTGCTCCTAGTTGCCTGGTTTTCACTTGAGACCGGTGCATCCAGCTGGACCCGCCCCTTCTCATCACTGCCTCGCCCACTCTCATCTAGCTCCACCTCTTCAATGAAGCAACATGTCAGCCTGCACCCATTCAAGCCTTGATTCTGTCATTTCTCTGCTTTTTTATGTAATCCATTGTAAAATAATACCATCCTAATTTCATTTTGAACCATTTTTTACGATCACGTCTGCATTCGCAAGTCTGCCAACTGTTGCCTGCCTTCAATTCTTTAGGTTTTATTATATGTGCTACTGTATACATTTATGTACTTAGGTTTGAGTATGCACTATGATAAGCATTTAAGTCACCATTTTTGGTTTTTAGTGTATATTGGACCTTAGGGAGTTAGTATACCTCAGAGGTAGTCTACTCTATGTAGAGTTAATTTCGTCTCACCGATTATAACGCACATAACATACACCATGCTAACCAGAATTGGCCCTTTATTTTTTGCTTGTGCTCCACTCAAAACACCAAGCCTGGTCTGCATGTAAGCTCTCATGCACCTATGCACCTCCACCCCTTACAACAGGGAACATTTCTAATGGTGCTTCAACTGGTGCTCAGGCCCAAAAGAGATGGAGACAGCCATGGCTAAACTATTTCGGACATCAGCTGATCTATAACACTCCATGAATCCATGGCGGCAAGTTTTTCGGAATATAACTGAGATGTTTTCCCAATCTACTGCTGCAGGTCGTAGCATTGATGAATTCATCAAGATGTCTGTTGACAAGGCCAGTCCAACCTGCGTGTCCCATAAAGGGAATGTCCTTCTCCTTTAACGAACCGCCCCACCAGGTACCGGCGGAGCTACCGCCAAATTCTTGTAACGTCTCAACATGGTGGCGAGTGCCTATTTATAAATAGATAGTAGATATATAGATAAATACTAGCTAAATAAAGTGTCTACTGTGGTCAGACTATTGTGTCAGAAATCAAGGGAAACCTTTTTTTCAGTGTGTTTGAGTCGTGTGTGTTATCATTGTCTGTTTGGCCCTCACAGTGCTCCAATTACAAGATATTTGCACTGGGGTCTATGCAAAACAAAAAAGAACACAAAAGGTCTTTTGCAGAATCAAGAAACTAGATCTTCAGCTAGAAAAAGAATTGTATAGAATATGTTGCACCTCACAAAAAAACTAAAAATCAAACGACAATGAGATCTGAACAAAAAAAAATTATGTTGACCTGAGGTGGATTTCATCATTGTAAACACACCTTAAAGGAATAGTTCACCCAAAAAAGAAAATTCCGTCATTAATTACTCACCCTCATGTCGTTCCAAACCCTTAAGGTTTTCTTTCATTTTCGGAACACAAATTAAGATATATTGGATAAAATCCAGAAGCTTTCTGACCCTCCATAGACAGCAACACAACTGACACATTCAAGGCCCAGAAAGGTAGCAAGGGCATTGTTAAAATAGTCCATGTGACATCAGTGGTTCCACCTTAATGTTATGAAGCTACAAGAATACTTTTTGTGTGCAAAGAAAAAAGTAATCACTTTATTAAAAAAAAAATTATCTTCCGTTTCAGTCTTCAACGTGCATTCATGAGAATACCACAAGGCATGCATGTGCTGCTGCTGACACAAGAGCTGGCATTCTGACATAGAATTGTATGAATGACTTCCATTGTATGGTCAAAAAATATAATGGAAGTCAATGGAAATAGCAATGGCTGTTCGATTACCAACAGTCTTCAGAATATTTTCTTTTGTGTTGAGCAGAAGAAAGTAACTCATACAGATTTGTGACGACATGAGGGAGAGTAAATGACTATTTCCATTTTAGGGTAGACTATGCCTTTAAGAAGCATAAACATAGTTTCAAGTGGAAGAACACATTGAGATGGCTGGGATATGTTAACAGTTGTTATGCATTGTCTTGTGTCATTTCACTGCTGTTGTCTGTAATTGTGGAGTTCACATTAGGACTTTGGCAAAGTCCAAAATATAGCCAAGAACTGACTGTTAAATGACCTGTCTGTGCTTCCATGTTGCATTTCACCTTCTCGTTATTCAGGCGTCTTCACATTATTTCAAGAATCGCATATGTTTCTGTGTTCACATAATGTCAGAATTACCGCATTTAAAAGATTCTGTTCCGATAAGTTTGTATCTTTGGGCTCAGAAATTATAAATTTTTCTGACAATCCTCAAATCTTGAGGGTCAAAGAAAGTGCATTGTGTACCTAAGCTATAAAAAAATGACATGAAACTAGTTTAAAGTAGGCTAACTGTATGTAGTTCTGCGTATTTCTGTGACTATTGAGCTCCTACGGTTAAGTGCACTCTTAAAAATAAAGGTGCTTCACGATGCCATAGAAGAACCTCTTTGTCTAAATGGTTCCATAAAGAACCTTTAACATCTGAAGAACCTTTCTGTTACACAAAAGGTTCTTTGTGGCGAAAGAAGGTTCTTCAGATTACAAAAAGGTAAGAAAGAGATGGTTCTTTAAAGTACCTTTGACTGAATGGTTCTTTGCTGAACCAAAAATGGTTCTTCTATGGCATCGCTTGAAGAACCTTTTGAAGCACCTTTACTTTTAAGAGTGTGAGTGGAATTCAAAATATACAACTGTCGTAATTTCGACAAGCTGTCGTTATGTCGTAAAGCAATCTCACCAAACTTACAAACTCCCAGATGTTTGAGGGGAGCATGAAAGAAACAGAAGCCATTCGCCTTATTAGAAGTCAGAAGAATGATTTTGAAACTCATGGTGAACGGTAATACACACTTACTGTACATACAGTTGCTTTAATGTTAAGCTTTTGGTCATTATGAACACGTCACAATGAGCAAGTTAGAAGTCGGAAACCTCACGGTAATTCTGGCATGACGTGAGTGCATCATTGTCGCTGTGCTCTAGAATATTCCTACGTTTCTTTAACTATTGTGACTGATGAACACTGATCCAGAATATGTCCACCATGTGAATACTGGATGTTTCTGACTCAGTTTCAAACACTAGAAGAGTGTTTGATCTGCTGTTCTAATATTTATGTCTGTCTACCTGTCTGTCTGTCTGTCTCTGTTGTGCAAGTCTATAATTGTACTATAAGGACAAAAAAGACGTCAGACATATTGCAGTCCTCCACCTTCAGGACCTTTTGAATTATTGAATACTTGAAGTAGGGGGAGATCTCCTGCCTTGGGAAGAGATATATTATATAGAACAAAGAAAAAAAAAAAGAAATGTTGACTTGTGTGGTGATGATGCATGATTATGTACATTATGTGCCAACTCTGGGCTGTAGTGAAGTCTAACATTAGACTAAAGGTCTAATGGAGCTCTACGCAGAAATGATTAATAATGAATGAAAGAAAGAAGATTCAGCCCTGTAGGGTTTATGAAACTATGACGTATGTCAAAGGGCCTCTGGTTTGAGCAAAGGCCCAAAATAAAGAGAACAAAAGTGAAGATTTCTCTCTATATTTATATTTGTTGTGTGCCAGTTGCATTGTTTCTTTTATTTCACGATGTCAAAAAAAATGCAAACCTCTGGATGATACAAACCACTGTGACAAATACCAGAAAAGAAATAGTATAATTCTTCTTAAAAACAAAAAAAAACATTGTTTTTACTTTTTTAAGATATTTATTTATGTTGTGGTTTTATGAAACTATGACGTATGTCAAAGGGCCTCTGGTTTGAGCAAAGGCCCAAAATAAAGAGAACAAAAGTGAAGATTTCTCTCTATATTTATATTTGTTGTGTGCCAGTTGCATTGTTTCTTTTATTTCACGATGTCAAAAAAAATGCAAACCTCTGGATGATACAAACCACTGTGACAAATACCAGAAAAGAAATAGTATAATTCTTCTTAAAAACAAAAAAAACATTGTTTTTACTTTTTTAAGATATTTATTTATGTTGTGGTTTTTTTTATGGTTCATGCTTTTTTGAATATGTCAGTTTGGGACTGTAAGATTTGTACATGAAATTAGTTTACTGTTTTTTCTGTACAGCAGTGCAAACAAGTCCAATGTGAGTGTCCGCATGCCGAATGATACCGTGTGAACGTGGGGTTCATTTTCCCATGGTGCACCAGTCGTCACGGATGAGACACATTGGCATCGTGATGGTGTAATGTGTTTGAGAATGGTGTGTCCTCACCCACATCTTCCCGCCCACTGCCAGTGGATTGCCCGTGCAACTAAATCAAAGCGTTCGCATGTTTTCGGAGGGCAGATCTGACATCAAAAGGAGTGTGGGATATGCTTGCATGATTGTGTCTGTGTATGCAAATAGGATTGTTACAGGGTGTGAATGTTGGAGAAAGTTGGTGGTGCGAGAGCCTATAGCAGGCGCGACTGGGGTGTTCGGTGTGAAATCTGTGTCATGTTCGATGTTTTTAAAGTCCTTAACCAAAAGTGACTTTCTTTCTGAGATAGCCTATGCTCTGTTTAATTTAAAAACAAATAAAAGTTTATTAGTCGAAGTCCAAAGAGTGTTTGTCCTCATAAAAATACACTGTATATTGCTGGTACATACACAACTGTTCAAAAGTTTGGTTCTTTAAGATTTAAAATATATAGGCCTATATATATTTAGCCAGGTCACCTTAAATTGTTCAAAAAGGACATTAAAGAGGACTTACTAAAAAAGTAAATTACAAATAAATGCTGATATTTTTTTTTTTTATTAAATTTTATTTATGTTTTCATTTTTTTTACCATCTCAAAGAATCTTGGAAAAAATGCTATCACACTTTCCACAAAAATATCAATTCGATTTTTATCATTATTTACATTTTAACAATTGTTAACTTTATTAATAAGAAATGTTTCCTGAGCAGCAAATAAGCATATTAGAATGATTTCTGAAGGATCATGTGACACTGAAGACTGGAGTAATGATGCTGAAAATTCAGCTTTCATCATAAAAAAAGAAATTACATTTTACAATATATTAAAATAGACATCAGTTTTTTTAAATTGTAAAAATATTCCACATTATTACAGTTTTCAAATCAAATAAATGCAGCCTTGATGAGCAGAAGAGATGTTAAAAATTTTTATCAAAACCAAACTTTTAAACATTATGTACACTCACAAATACATTTCTACAACATATGTACTACCTGAAGGCTACTAAAAAGGCAACGGCCACAATAAAAAATGACATCAGATGGATATTGTTTAAGGCCGTTGCCAGTGTGCCCAAATGAATAATCAGAAACAACTGATTCCCAATATACAGTAGTCAACTTGTAAGTGAAATAAGAATACACCAAGTTGTCACATTGCTAACTAAAAACCATTTGGGGTAAGAAAAGTTCATGCTCATTATCCTTTTTGAACATATTGCTGTTGCTGCCATTATATAAATGCAATAAGCCAATTGTAGGCCATGTGTTAGTAAAATCACAGAACTGGACGGCCTATTGTGGCTCATTGCATTATTGTTGAATACCACACAAAAAATGGGCTTCCGTAGTCAACTTGTAAGTGAAATAAGAATACACCAAGTTGTCACATTGCTAACTAAAAACCATTTGGGGTAAGAAAAGTTCATGCTCATTATCCTTTTTGAACATATTGCTGTTGCTGCCATTATATAAATGCAATAAGCCAATTGTAGGCCATGTGTTAGTAAAATCACAGAACTGGACGGCCTATTGTGGCTCATTGCATTATTGTTGAATACCACACAAAAAATGGGCTTCCTTGGGCTGTGTGTGTGTGTGTGTGTGTGTGTGTGTGTGTGTGTGTGTGTGTGTGTGTGTGTGTGTGTGTGTGTGTGTGTGAGAATAT